GTTCAGAAATATCTGCAGGCATTTGGGGAAGAGACTAAATGATGCCCAAGATGCCAGGAGTAGAGATTCTTGGTGGCACCTCATTTATGTATTCATCTGAACGGTGCCATCCAATAGCTGGATGGGACTTATTTGCACTGCTGCACAGGCAAAGCAAGAGATGGGTGCTCATATCCCAGACAATTTGGGGACATTTTGTCTAATCTTCCTTGCATATATTGAAACTGGCAGTGTGACATCAGCTCAGAAATAATGAATGCGTTATTTAAGCCTGCAGGTGCATGCATGTTTAGGGAAAGAAAAGTCCTACAACGTCCGTATTTCCTGGCCAGCCTAATTTGGGAACGCTGGGCCTTGCGGGATTCTACATTCATTCATTCATTCATTTAGGGAACTTCTATGCTGCCCCATTCGCCAAAGCCTTGGGGCAGCTCACAAACATAAATAAATAACATCATATAAAACAATATAATTTAACAGTATAAATTAAGTCGCCCTGGCCAAATAAAATAAATAAATAATATTAACAATTAAAATAACATTTGAATAAAAAAGTCTTTGCCTGGCGCCGAAAAACAAATAACGACGGCGCCAGGTGGACCTCTCTGGGGAGCGCATTCCATATATTGGGCGCCACCGCAGAGAAAGCCCTCCTCCGAGTACTCACCCTCCTAATTTCCTTCACGGAGGGTTCCCGGAGAAGGGCCTCTCCCACTGGTCTCAAGGGATGGGCGGGCATATATGGCCATAAGTGCTCCTTCACGTAACCTGCATAGGATTGCATCTTAAGTGACTCTTAGGCATTTTAGATGTAAAATTGGTGGTTCTTTCCAATTAGCAATTTATATTAAGGTTAAATTAGGTGGGCTGCAAGATATGTGTGGCCAAATATATCTTTGTAGAGAGAAACATGGTTTCATTTGCATGGTAGCCGCAGTAAATAGTGTACTGGAAACAATTCCAGTGTTGTGCTTTAACCATGGGACTGGAACTCCTTAAATGCATCCCTGATCTATTACTATGCTCTCTCTTCTCTCTTTTCACCTTATGACACTTTGGAAAGCCCCTGCTCACTTGTTTGGCAATCTCTCTTAGGGACTTCACATTTAAAATTTAATACAGATTCCATCTGCACTGAATGAGCAGGCTAGTGCTTAATGCAAATGGTTAACATGTGGTCACTCCTTTAAGCAATATTTTGGTACTGGAGGCTGCGGCTGTATGTAATTTCAGCCAGCAAGGATTTGTCCATGCACAGACTAGAAACTGAACTGTCGACTGAATTAAAATATATTGGATTGAACCCAGATATAGTCATACTTAGCGTAGATCTGCTTAAATGTATGGGTCCACTCTCATGGTGTAATCAGAGGCCTTTAGGATACAATCCTATACATGTCTAGGAAAAAAAAAGCCCTACAACTCCCAGTATTTCCCATCCAGGCTAGCTGGGAATGCTGGGAAACCTGGGATTTTTTTTCTCTGAATAAAGGATTGCCCCTATAGAAGACATTGTACAGCTATTCTGACTTTCCATGCTGGATGGTTGCATGGGGGTGGGGGTGGGGCTAAGAGGAAGGTGGAAGAACTGGTAAGAAAACATAGGAAAAGTCCTCGTAAAAATCTGTGAATTAGCAGTGTGATGAGCGCCAGATTCATCGTGCTGCAACATTTACATTATCAGTTAAGTACATTGGTTTATGTTGAAATTGTATCCACCACAGTTCTGGCTCTTCCATCAAAGCTGCTGATCAGCTCCGAAAAGAAAAAATGGCAGCCTGCCCCTTTAAAAGTGTGGGGTGGGTCTCCAGCAACAGCTTGGACTTTATGGTTGTTGTTCAGCTAAATAAATATTTGAATTAAGGGTTTTGATCATTTATCAAGCAGCACCGCTTTAAACTGGACGTTGAACAAGCATCATAAAACAAGTTGGAATACTTCTCTTATTTAATATGAAAGCTTTAAATTGTATTTAAAACAATTCCTATAATAAAGCTGCTTAACTTGCTGATGTCTTTGTAACATATGATCTTTTTATTTAACATTGTTCTAAAACCCACAGACTTCATGGTAAATAACATTTGAAAATTGACTTGGTAATCCTATTAGAAGCTTTCATTTTATCTTTTTCATGACTTTAACATTTATCGTAAATTGCATTTAAAAAAACTGTATATTAAAAATGTACAAAAACATGGTTCAATGCCTTACTATATTTTAATAGGAGAAATACAATACAAAGAATATTATGAAACATTATGGAATGTAATCCACCCAGAACTGAGCAGCCCTGAGTCCTTTTATTCCAGTGGGAAGGTTTTTTTAAATTCTCCTCCATTGAAATTAAGTGCTTAACAATTGAGGCTTCTGCAAATGAGGTTTTTAACCCTCCACCTTACTGAGTCTCTGTTTCCAGTTTCTTTGCAGGATTAAGACTGGCTCTTTTAAATTTGTTCCTTCTTTTGCAGGCAGTGGGGGTGGGATGGGGGTCTTTTTCTGCCTTCTATATATTTGATTATACATCCACAAATTGAGATGGCAGTTAGCTGCAGTATACTGGAACTGAATCAATACATGAGCCTTGCATTCTGGTTTGTTCTGTATTGGAAAATAACTACCTCATTTTCCTCAGTCTAAAAAAAGAAAATGAAGTAGCATGAAAAACACCTGCAAACAAATGTGAGTAAAGAATCACAGGCACACAATGCATGCCTTGTGTGGAGATACCTTTGGGCGGCTCGTGACAATACTATTTGTGCTGGTGAAAAAATTATGTGTACTTACTTTCTTTAAGCACAAATATTTAGTTACTTTACAATTCAACTTTTTTTACTGCAAGGCTAGAAACAAATGATTCAGTATCATTGAATAGCAATCACTTGTAAACCATTCTGAGAGCTTTGATAGTTGTGAATGATATACAAAAGTTTAACACAGAAACCTACTTCTGTCTAGCAATAAATTACTCAGTGTTGGCAGATGGCCCAACCCCAAAACTATTAGCACTCAGCAAGGTAGCAAAGGAACATTTCCGGAGGAGGAAACTGCCTTTCTTTAAGCCCTGAACCCTAGGGTCCACAGAGCTGAGGGAACAGATTTTGACTCTGATCAAGAGGAAGGGTTAGAATTCACTGCTGAAATGGGAAAGCCAGTGGACCCACAAACAAGAATCGGACAGTTTCAAACATGTGAGAACGTTTAGTGAGTGTGCCACTCTGGAAGGGGTGGACCTCGTGTCATTAACCCCAGGTTAAAAGAACTGACCAGATGCTCCATCCAACTGACCCTTAAGCCACAGGACCTGCCTTGAAGGCATGGTTTGTTCAGCTGGGAAGGGAGGAAAAATACTCAATTTGGAATCAGCAACTTATCATTAAACTGCTTTTCTCTAATGACCAGGACTCTAACTTAGCCTGTTTCTCTTTTTATTGACTTCTGCAATACACTACATTTATACTTTAAAGCCACACAAGCTAGTCAACTCTAACTTAACAAAGCCATTGAGCTGGAAGGTAATCATCTGACTGTCGGAAGGAGAATAGCCACAACACAGGAAAACCAATACAAAGTCAAAGAGCTACCTGAGAGGAGGGCTCCAGGTCGGCTCCCCCAGAACAAAAGTTTAAATATACAGGACTGAATGAAAAGCTGACCTAGCTATGGTACAGCAATGCAAGGCAAGTATGCCCCCACTCCCACCAAAAATTCATGAAGTAGCTGGAAACCAAGCCAGAAAAGTGGATCATACAGGAACTGGGGGGGTGGGGGCAGTGGCAGGCACTGTCCTGAGGTTCCCTCAGTCCTGGAACTAATTGTCATCTAAACTTTCAGCAAATCAAGCCTTGTTTCCTGTTTGTAAAATTGGAATTATAACAATCTGTAACACTGGCTTCTCAAATAGGATTGCGGATTAAACAGTGAAATCTCTACACAGATTTAGCCAAAACTCCAAATCCTTATTTAGTTTTAATTTATATTAAAAATGGTGTCCTACTGTTCTAGCAAACCATCCATTCAATAGGGGTTGTCCTCATCTTCAAAGTGCTCCAATCCCTTACTCCTTCCATCTATCTGCTTTCAGATCCTGGCTTAACCTTGCTCGAAACGTCTAGTTCCACCACCCCCAGCTGCCGAAAAGCTTCCTGCTCTTTGAAAGGACTCCACCCTTTCCCTGCTCCCATTAGTCTCAGAACTACCTTTCTGAGCATTTTGACAATTCTGCCTTTCTTTCCAGTCCTACTTCTAATCCCATGTTTCCCCAGAAGCCTTTGGCACCACTCCGTTTTCCTGATTCCCTTTTGACACTAGGCCCAAATACACGTAACTGGACTCAGTGTAGTCTCTTCCCATTGAGGTGTTTTTTTGTTTTTGTTTTAGTATTTTCTAATTTCTTTTATAAAGTATATGTTTAAGGCATTTTATAGCCTTTTATACTTAACATTATAGTCTGATGTTGAAAATGGAATAGCTTCAATATAACCACACCTACAAAGAAAACATAATTTCAGGTATCTTTTCCATAAACAAAATAGGGTAGCATCAAAAGTTATTTAAACACAGAGTTGAGATTTTAAAAATGAAGCATGCCTTTAATTTTGAGAAATCAGTTTTCATTAAGGAGAGCATTTTATTTCTGAGTTCCACAGCTAAGACATTTACATTCATCTTTTAATGTTCCATTCATGCTTGTTATAATTAGCATGGAGTTAACATTCATTTCTGGAGAGCAGCACTTCCATTCCGACTGCAAAAGGAAACAGCGAGTACATTCCTCAGAGGTTGCCAAGTCAAGTGCTACGGGAATTTCATGCTAATATACTATCTACAGAGAAAATGAGATCTGGACATTTCTTTGACCAAAACCATGGGATTTCAAATGGCCTGTCAGTTGCTAGTCCAGCAAAACCGACAAGTTTATGGCACAAATCAATAATTTTCTACAGCCCTGTTAAATTGCATTAAAGGACTGATAAGTGATATCACTCTATCATATTTTTCAGGTTTTGATTTAGCAGAAAGCTTTTCTTTGAGGCAGACTTCATGTGGACTTGGAAAGCACTGCTATAAGTTGGGGAATGCACCTCTTATCAGAGACTCTCAGTAAGTAATACGATGTGTTATCTGTGAATAACCATTTAGCATCCCAAATGTTCCTTTACAATCTTCTTTGTCACATGCGTTACTCTTTCTGGGTTTTTTTTAAATCAGTCTCTTTATTCCATATTTCTCTGCCTCAAATTTCCACTCTTGTGTGCAATCACCAGTGTGATTCTATTGATTTTGCTTGTACTTTCTACTATATGTGCTTCAAGTAACAACTTTTCTGGGATCGCTGAATAGTTATATGGGGTTTATTTCCATATAAGCAATGAAATTTAAGTCAAATATTTATAGCAATAAATTAGCTTTCTGTGCTAATTGCCTGGAATATTCTAAAATAGGATCTATTTCAGCCTATATATCTCAGAATTGAAAACTGACAGCCTACCACACAGGGAAAAAAATGATTGTAATGGTGATTTCTGGAGTTTTGTTTGTATGAATTATATCCAAAGTTAGTTTAGCTTAAGTTCCATTTGTTTATTTGGATCTGCTCAAAGTAAGATGCAAGCCTTTCCCTCACTTTTTCCCCACTCAGTACTACACTGGGAGCATGAACACTTCAGAAAAGAAAATTTAAAATTGGGTTGTGGCTTTTAAAAAGTTTTCATTGTTTTTACCATTAAAAGGTTTACAAGCCTGTTTTATTCTCCTGTGCTCCCATGAATGAATGAATATAATATAATATAATATAATATAGCCATAAAGCCTCAATCCTGGTGGGTGGGTGTATATACTTCAAAACTTTGGAGATTTTCCCGTTCAGAATTTCTGCCTTCTTCCTAACTCCACTGCACATGAATCCCCAAATGGTCTTCATGTATCAAACCATGGTTTGGGGATTTCTGTGCAAGAGTAATTTAAACTGAACCTAGAACTGATCTGCTTATAGTATGTTTTTCTTGCCTCTCTAGTAACATGGCTCTTGCACCAAATTTCAAAATCACTTTAGGAAGCTTCTTTCAGAGTTTGTGGTTCTGGCAGGGGTTGTGAATTCAGAAGCATACAAGAATACACATTAGGTAGTCACACCCACATAATGTATGTTTGTGTACTTTTTTCAATTGTTGCCATAGTAATTTAGTAAAGCTAGATAATAAAGAAAGAAGTCTAGGAATTAAAACATTTGTCATTAAAAGATCTTTATCTTAGTTGCATATGTTCTGTGTACTCAGTGAATCTTTTGGGCTGCTTTTATGACAGTGCCATATTATATGGTTTTGGAAAACATGAAGTTTAGCCAGATGTAACCCAGCTTGTAGGCTTATCTCTTCTCTAGAGTATGTAAATAGGCTCTGCGTGTACCGTGTACCGTGAGTAGCAATCGGGCTCCCCACTACAGGAAACGAAAGGGTATCTGATTAAGCTGACTTGAAAGTGTCAAGTAGCTTGGCAAATATCCCCTTACATTTCACTCATTCAGCTGTAGCATGAGTGACTGTAAACTATGCTGTGCCACTTCTGTGGTGTGATGCCGTTTTATTTTTTCTCAATGGGACTTACAGCTATTGATGTGTTTGTTAATATGGTGCTCTTACAAATGGTGAACAGGAACAGAATTTAAGTAAGGGGCTTACCCTCTTATGGTGGGGAGCAAGAACAGAATTTAGGGAAGGGGCTATTTCTGTTCCCTTCAGGTTTCATGCTTGTGATTGGCTGCGGACAGTTTCCATATTGTATTGTGTGTGTGTGTAGTGTGAGATCTGGAGATGTTTGAGCTACAGGACTGTACAGGTGCCTCTCACTGATTCCACAGCCTGGTGCAAGCCACCCCCAGCTGTCCTTTTCTTGCTGATCCCTTTGGAACAGGGTGGTGTGGGGCACTGGGACTCCATCAGGGCAAAGACTCAGAGGAACACTGTGGGGATGTGTGCAGAAGTGGAAGTACTTTTTTTGGTTCCACAAAAATTCTCCAGATGATTTTTAGACCACATGGAACACTAACAGGTTGCTTTCATAGACACTTTCATGGGCTAAACTCCATTGAAGCAGGCTGCAATCCTCAAAAACCTGCGCCTAGTAAATTGGTTAGGGTTGTATGCAGGTTTTGGACAAGCAGATGGCAGCTGATGCCACAAAATATTTTCCTTCCCTGCAACCCCTGTGCCCCATCTATCAAAAGCCTCTCCGGGGGTTGTCTGAATGCTGTGTGGTCTGTTGTACAGAGATGCACTGAAGGGAGAAATCTTTACACACACACACACACACACACACACACACACACACACACTGTAGTAACTTTGTGTGAGCTGCCACTGTAGTCCCTGGCTTCCTGAATCTGATCATTTTGCGATGTGAAGAAAGTTCCTGCTGGAACTCATGGGAGTTTCCTGCTCTTTGCAAAAAAAAAAAAAAAAAAAAAAAGCAGATATAGGGCTGTGATGAAAAGGATAAAGGGTTGTAACCCTCTCCCTGTATCCTAGTACTAATGCAGTTCAGGAAACTCTCTCTCTCTCTCTCTCTCTCTCTCTCTCTCTCTCTGTGTGTGTGTGTGCGCGCGCGCACATGCGCGTGCGCTTCTTTAAAAACGCATTAAACTTGGTCCTTGCATGTGCCCCATTGTGGCATTTTAGCAGCCTTGTCTGGTTATGAACATGTATGGAAGATTTAGGAAGATAGCCTATAGCTGAAAAGTCATGTTCTTGAACTTACATCTGCCTTAGGGGGCATCCACACCAGACTCTTGTTGTTGTTTAAGCAATGTTTAAACTAAATGAATTGCCTTTACTGTCCTAGTTCTGTAAGTTCTTTATGGTAATTGCATCTCACCTGAGAGTTTGTTTATGCCACAGCATCTAGTTCTTAACTCGTCTTGTACTGCTGTAGGGTGATTTGAGTTATGTCTGGTATAATATTGGGATTGTAAACTCTTTATGATGCTCAAGTGGAGTGATAAATATTTTTCAAATGGCAGTTTTGGGGCTAAGATTTGTTTGTTCTAGGCAGATGGTTAAAGGCAGTATGTTCTGTTTCATTGGTGATTTTGGTGTGTGTTGAATCCAGCCAGGGAGGATTTGATTAAACTCATGATTTATATCACTAGTGGGTAAGAATAGATTTAAAGCATGGTTTTCTGCATAATCTGCACGCATGCCTGCCTTACCCGTAGGTAGAAGAACTTCATTAAATATTCCCAGTCTGGCTTTCTTTTATGGCCTGCTGCCATTATAGGTATTCTCCTTCTAGGGAAAAAAATAAGATAAAGCTCAGGGTGTTCATGAAAAGATGCAACGACTTGTGGAGTAGTCTGCTCAAAAGGTTTCACTTTCATTTTTACCGCTTTTGCGCACACACTCCTCACAGTTTCTTGTGCAGATCCCAACAGTCTTCTTCTAGTCATTTAATTGTTTTGCAACATAGCACTTAAGAGGTAAGTGGTTGATTCTGTGTACACAGATTTGCAAAGGAACAATGGGATTAAGGTCTTTTTCTCAACTCTGTGTGTTTATTTTCTAACATTTTTGCTGTGAAGAAGAGGCAGGTGATCTCTGCAGACACACATTCACTGCTTTGAGAACTGTGCAACCAAGGATCCCTGATAATATCTTCTGGATAGAAAAATTGCCTAATAATCTTAACAGAAACCTCTGGAAGATCATGTCATTGTGAATCGATTAATGGAATTCATTTACCAAAAAATTTAAACATTGCATGACTATACAGCCTCATGCTACATAATTAAAAACCAATCCTTATTTCATGATGAATAACGTTTGGACTATGATGGACCTTAAAAAGAAAACTTTCTTTAGGTAGATTTTTCCTCAAAAAGCATTTTATTTAAAAGTTCCAATTTAAATCAAAAAATCTGATTGTTTTATTTTTTAAAAAATGATTTTTATCCACCTTAGATCCAGCAAAGTATAACCCAATTTCCCCTGAGCACTGGAGATTCCCATGTCTTCCCTCCTGTTGCTGTCATGAGTAGCTCACCCCCAAACCCCTTATTCCAAGGGGTTCCAGAGATCCTCAGGAATGTCATGGACTGTGAGATAACATGGCTGCAACTGATGGAGGTCCTAAGCAGGAAGCCATCAGACCACAGTTACTGTGGAGGAGAGCAGGACAGTGCTGGGTCTAGCTATGCTTACAGCCTACTGCTTGGAAATGTGAGGAGGAAAACTTGAGATGCCTGGAAATCCCGGCCATTGAGAAATCTGGAAGGTAAAGTCCTGCAAGAATGTGATGATGGGCCCAGTCCATATAAGGCTTTGCCCACATGGCCTGGCCTTATTCCAGTAGGATTGCCCCTGGGATTAACCACTGTCTCTTAGTATGCAAGGGCACCTCATGTATGTGCTTCTTGCTTTGTTGAAGGTCAGGAAGGAATGTGTGGAGAGCCAATGTGGTATATTGGTTAAAAGTGCTGAGCTGGGACTTGGGAGGTCCAGGTTCTAGTCTCTACTCAGCCATGGAGCTAAGTGAGTGACTCTGGGCCAGTCACAGGCTCTCAGCCTAGCCTACCTCGCAGGGTTGCTACTGTGGGGAAAAGACTGAGAGGAAGAAAAGAATTATGTATGCCACTTTTAGTTACTTGAAAGGGAAAAAGGCAAGATAGAAATACAATTAATTAATTACACTGGCAAAAAGCTTTGCAAGTTTTTTCACCTTTCCTAGTATATTACTTTAAAGCTGTACATCTATGCACACAATATTGTTGCATAAAAATTTCACAACTTTGGTGAGTGAGGAGACATTTGGGACCATCGTTAAGTTTAAGAGAACTTTCAGGTTATGGGGCAGCATAGAAGTGGAACAAAATAAATAAATAACAGATATTACTAGCTTTTAGACAACTGTATAATTGCAGAAGTGGTAGGCCAAACTTTAAAGCAGCGCTATACAACTTAAAGTTGGCGGTCTAATACACTGGGAGCCTGCCATTTCAGCAGTCCCTGAAAACAAGAGGGAAGGTGCAAAGCAGAATCCTTAGCAAGGCTGTTACATGATCTGGGTACCAGTTTAAGAAGCCCCATTGCCTGTGACACACAGCACAGAGC